GTTATGACTCCGAGAAGTAAAATCGCCGATTAGAGACCTTAGGGGGCGGGATTTGGATCTGAGAATTGAGAGATGAAGATAAACACCGATATGGGTTGGGTTAGGGTTTAAAATTGATTTAAAATGGGTATTCTGGGAACTTCAGGGTGGGCTAGGAGGGTATGTCAAATTATTATCCAAATGAAGGGGGTTTGCACTAGGGTATAAACAACATGATAGTTAGTTATATATATTTTCGAAATGATGGGTCTCTAAAACAATCCGTAAAAAAACTAGGTAATATTAAATTATAGGTTAATTTGTGGTCACCCTCATTGCTGCGGTAAACTACTAAAATATCCCTCATCCTGATTAATTATAATCACCCCTTAATTATTAATCTCTATACACATCAATCCTTATGACGTCAAATTAAATAAAATGTTCTAGATTATGTAGAAATATTTCTAGTTTGTATACCTTTTGTACTCAAATGCAGTTTTTGATCCAACGTACTGTGATATTCACAAGTCGAGAGACACAAATCTTACGATCATCGTACTTCAAAATGTGGAGCTCGAATGGGGTAAAAACGGGTACAAACTGAAGAATATTCCTCACAATCTAGAAGATTCCATTAAATTTGACATAATAAAGTGAGCACGTAAGAATATTCATAGTTGATGGGGCATTAGTAATTTTCTAAACATGAGAAGTTTTTTTGTAATGCGATCTTACTTTTAGGGGTGGCCGTAATTTAGCCTAAATTATATATAAATTCAATTATATATATGAGATTCCAATTGTGAAAGAGAAAATTAATTTTGTTTTGGTTTTTTTAGCAGCTACAAAGAGGTATTTAATTATCTCGATTAATTAAAATGTCAAAAAATTATATAATTAGCGTAAAAAGGGTTATAAAATAAACATTATTCCTGAGAAAAAAAAACTCTTTAATTTAAATTAACTAATAAAAAAATGGGTTTTTGTGCATAAGTCCCAACCAAGCATGTATTAGGTTTATGGGCTATATCTCTTTCACCAATAAGCTCATCCCTTTAATATTTATTATAAATAAAGGAAACACTGATGTATATTCCAATATTACCCTCAACTATTTATACCCAATTCTTAATTGTAACCCC